TAGTGGTAGATTTTATAAAGAAAAATATTTTCAAACGCTATGGATCTCCAAGAGCCATCATAAGTGATGGTAGAACTCACTTCCTTAATAGGTTATTCCAAGCGGTGCTTGCTAAATACGAGGTACAACATAGAATAGCCAACCGTATCACCCTCAGACAAGTGTGGGCAGGTTGAAACTTCTAACAAACAGTTGAAGAGAATTCTGGAACTCAGGGTGAATGCATCTCGAAAAGATTGATTCAAAAATTTGAACGATGCTTTGTGAGCTTATGACACTGATTACAAGACGCCGATTGGAATGTCACTATATCAAATAGTTTTCAGGAAAGCTTGCCACCTACCATTTGAGTTTGAGTACAAAGAATATTGGGCATTGAAGCAGTTGAACATGGATTTAGAAAAGACCGGAGAAACAAAAATATTACAGCTTCACGAATTGGAAAAATTTAGAAGTGAAGCTTATAAAAATGCACTCATCAAAGAAAAGACGAAGCAGTGGCATGACAAGAATATTCGACAACGAATTTTCAGAGTGAGAGATCAAGTGCTCTTATACAACTCCAGATTTAAGCTGTTCCCAGGAAAATTGAAATCAAGATGTTCCGATCTTTCACGGTATCTCAAGTGTTTCCCTACAGTACGGTTGAATTACACCACCCAACAAAGAGAAATTTCATGGTTAATGGACACGCATCAAACACTACATACAGGATTTTTCCACCGCTAAAGAAAGCATTGAACTAGTTGTTCTAGAATAATCGTGGCACAAAGTCAAGCTAATGACGTTAAAGAAGCGCTTCTTTGGAGGCAACCCAAGTTTTTTTCCTTTTTATTTATTCTATTTTTGAGTTTCAGAATATTTTAGTTTATTTTAAATTTATTTGTGACTCATCATCCATACCCCGTTTCCTTTAGATTTTCGATATGTTAGTTGGTTTATTAGATGTTAGAGTCAAGTAACACTTGTTCCAATTATTTGATCTTAATGCTTTATTTGATTTTTTAAGAACATGGCGTGTGTACATTTAAACCAATATTTACCAAGAAGCCAATATGAGCAATAGGAAAGTTAGCTATTAAATTACAAGTCATATTAGGAGAGTCTTTTTTTCACATTTTTCCACATCCCTTTATATGTGGATTTATGATTAAAGACATTAAAGACAATGTCTGGTTTAATTTTGGGGGTGGAAAACATGAGTTTTCATTTTTTATGTGTTTTTGTATGCTTTTATTGTTTTAGTATTAAAAAGGAAAAAAAAATCTTTTGTGTGCTTGTATGGGTTAGTTGGTCTGACTAGCAATGATGAATATATTAAATAATGAATTGATCTATGAATGGTGAATAAGTTGCATGCTTAGATTAATTTTTACTTTTCATGTAAAATTTGATATATATTGAGCACATAAATTAAATTAATCATTGTGTAGGAATGAGTTGATTTCATAATTGAATATAACCATAGATGTTAAAATCAAAACCGCTAAATTTTACATTCTTAGACCAAATTTAAAATAATTTGGGAGGATTTCACTGTTGTAAGAAGATGTTGTGATAAATATGGTTCCATGTGTGAAAGTAAAAATCTTGTATGGATTGTCTAAGGTTAATATGATACAATTGGGTGAAAATCTCAAGTTAGGTGGCGTTTTATTTAAATTGGTATTAAATAAGGGACATTACAATAATCAAGACATAAAAAAATATTTTATTAGAAAATTTCTATTCGTAGACTTTATGACTCGAGTAATTAAGTATGTAAGAGTCTTTAAAACCTGGTACCCTATGATAATTGGATTTGGGAGTTATCGGCTAAAAGTTTATTATATGAGCCATTTAGAAAATTTAAGGGAGAAAATGCAACCAATAAAGAAAAAATTATTCTAAAAAAAAAAAATTCAGAAAAAACAGGTGCATGAAACAGAAAATGTACCAAATGCCTTGGTTAAGTCTCAAACACTTATTTAAGAAAATTCGGCTTTTGATAAGAGATTGTTAGTTTAGTTAAATTCTAGAGATTGAAGTAATCAAACTTAATGGAGAATCCTTATTTATTGAAATGTTAAACTACAATTTGTGAAATTTTACCAAACTAGAGAGGTGGGGATAGTAAAAAAATCAAACATTAGTTCACACACTGGAAAAGAGTTAAAAAAATAAGTTTGGGGGTGTGTGAATCTTACGAGTGATGAAAGACCATATTTGACAATTGAGGGTCGGGAATTGAAACAATTTATGAATTCATAATGCTATGCTTAATTCTTCACACATACACGCGCGTCGATTTTATATTGGAAAAGTGAATTTTAATTTTTGTATTGTGATTTTGAAGTTGTGCATAGATTTGTTATTATGATTTCAATTTCGAGTAAAAAGCTAGGTTAACTAGTTAAATCTTGTTGCTCTACTTGATTAACTGGCCACAAATTAGGTAATTAGCATTACTTGTTTGTGTGTGTGTTATATTTTAATTTTGTTTGAGGACAAACAAGATTCAAGTTTGGGGTATATAAGTGTAGTTTATACACTTATTTGTGCCCCTAAATCATGATATTTTATTGTCTTATAGATTAAATTCTACATAATCTATGTTACATTGTGTTTTGTAAGTAAAAATTTTATGTTTAATGAAGAATTGGAGAAAAAAAATGCAAAAGTGGAGAAAAATTCCAAAAATTCAAAGATGAAACATTGGAGAAAAATATTACATTAAATGAGTTCGAGTTGACTGTGTCTCTATAGACTTGCATTTGAAATTATATATATAAAAGATAATATACACACGGCGCGGTACAAGAGGAGAAGAAAAGAAAGGCACAAAGAAGACATGCTGTGCAGAAGGAAGAAAGAGAAGAAAAAGAAAAAGAAAAAGAAGAGAAGAGAAGAAGAAGAAGAAAAAGAAAAAAGAAAAAAAAAGTGGAAATGTGGAAGGAAAGAAAAAAAGCGCAGAGAAGAAGAAAAGAGAATGAAAAAAGAAAAGAAAAAGAAAGGAAATTGCAAATACCAGAAATTTTCACGTTATATTATTTTTTGGTAATATCTTTCCATTTTTGCGTGTTTTTATTTTTACAATATGAATAACTAATTTTTATATTAGGGAAAATAATGTAGTCGACTTGTGATTCTTTATTTTTTTATTCAAGATTGCTGTGATTTATTTATATATTTTTTGGTTTTATTATGAGTTTAATGCATTAAGTTACCTGATCAATAATTTGATGATTATATGAATCTCTTACGAATCGAGAGGTGAGTTTGAGGTTTAGACCATATAATAAAATTCGATAAATTAGTATAACGTGTAGAAATGCATATACTAATTATTGCGGT